AAGAAACCACAACAAGGCATTAGACAAAATGCCTGTGCCACACAGAAGATCACTCACAGATGTACACATTTCAAGCACAAAAAACTTTTTAGAAAAAATCCTTTTGATACATATGAGAGGAAAAAACTCCATTATTTAACTCCTGCCCAACTGAGAATTAAACACAGTGAGGAGGCAAATGGGCCTTTCATTTGCCGCCTAAAGAAGGAAACTGGCCAGGATCTTCAATAGCAGGTGCTGCTCTAGAACTGTTGCCTCCACTGTAGCCACCTCTTGAGCCACGCCCACGGCCTCGGCCACGACCACCGGGACTATAGTACCTTTCACCCTCTGCAGGCTTCAAGAACTCGTTGATGCTAACAGACTGCACAAACCGACAATTTCAAATACAAGGGACTTTATCGTAATGTTTCAACTAATTTGGGGGTTGAATTTTAATCTCATTTTCCTTCTATTTTTCTTAGTTGACAATTTCCTCCTTTTTGTAATGGCAAATGTTGTTAACCAAGATACAAGGAGATATGATATATTAATGAATCTTATCAAGAGCAACTATAATGAGGGATCATATTCGTATCATCTTCCAGAAAGTATGTCCTCTGGCATGAACAGTTCAAGTGAAATATATTGTGGACCATGGAAAAGGATATATTAGGCAGATTAAAACAGACCCCCAACACCTGGCCTGCTGTATGAGTTTCGACAAAATTGACAATAAACTGAGCAGCATTGAGAGTACCTTTTTGGCTCTCTCTTCTTTCTCAGCTAACTCCTTTTTCTTATCCTTCTCAGAGCCCTGCAAAAAATCAATCCCAACAATAACGAAAAGAGAAGTTCGGTACATAAATTATATATTTAAAGCAGAGACAATCAAGACATAGGCAATCAAGACAGTGACAATCTCTAATTCATTCAGTAGGGAGTTAAATGGATTCACCAGTTTGACGAATATATCATCGTTAGCTTTCTTGTTTGCAAGTGGTTGCATGGATTCAAACTCTTTTGTGTCAACCTTCCTCTCCTCAGTTTTAAGGGCCACTAAGGCCTTCCTTTTCTCCTCCAGAAGCTTCTCATACTCTTCCAATGTCATCTCCTGCAGTTTAAATGAATTGGTTAAATTATATTTATCTGTATAATGATAATAAAATTATTTATTAAAATTAATTAAAAAATAAAATTATTTATCAATTAATATTTTTCATAATATTAAATAAACATATTCTACACTTATGCAAAAATATATCATCATAATATTTCTATTTACTTAAGATATATATTTTTTTGCTTATATAATAGTAAATAATATCGATATTATTATATAATATAAGTAAATAAATTCAACACGGGTTGACATTTTTATTTAATGTACATGTGTTTACTTATTATGATTAAAAAAATATAATTTGACAATTTAATTAAAACCCAAAATAGTGTTTTATATAAAATTAAATTATTTAAATTTTTAAAAAAATAAATTTTTTTTTTTACAAAAACTTTCTAATTCAACACCCGTGTAACACACGGGTATTGCACTAGTAAGTATTAATTCTCAACAACAAAAACTATTTATTTATATACTAGTTTTAACCCGCACGGAAAACGATACAATAAAGAAGAAATTAATAAAAACACATACGAATAATTCCCATAAAGAAGAAATTAGTCCAATTGAAGTCAAATTAGTACAATCTCGGTCAATTATAGTGTAATTCGACTTCAATTGGACTTATTCTCGGTCAAACTAGTACACTATAATTGACCGAGATTGTACTAATTTGACTTCAATTGGACTAATTCGAGTTCGATTACAAAAAATAGTACAATCTTGGTCAATTATAGTGTAATCGAACTCAAATTAGTCCAATTGAAGTAAAATTAGTACAATCTGGATCAATTATATTGTGATCGAGCTCGAATTAGTCCAATTGAAGTCAAATTAGTACAATCTCGGTCTATTATAGGGTAATCGAAATCGAATTAGTCCAATTGAAGTAAAATTAGTACAATCTTGATCAATTATAGTGTGATCGAACTCAAATTAGTCAAATTGAAGTCAAATTAGTACAATCTCGGACAATTATAGTGTAATCGAACTCGAATTAGTCCAATTGAAGTCGAATTAGTACAATCTCGGTCAATTATAGCGTAATCAACCTCGATTTAGTCCAATTGAAGTGAAATTAGTACAATCTCGGTCAATTATAATGTAATTGAAATCGAATTAGTCCACTTGAAGTAAAATTAGTACGATCTTGATCAATTATAGTGTGATCGAACTCGAATTAGTTCAATTGGAATCAAATTAGTACAATCTGGGTCAATTATAGTGTAATCGAACTCGAATTAGTCCAATTGAAGTCAAATTAGTACAATCTCAGTTAATTATATTGTGATCGAGCTCGAATTAGTCCAATTGAAGTCAAATTAGTACAATATCGGTCAATTATAGTGTAATCGGCCTCGAATTAGTCCAAATGAAGTCAAATTAGTACAATCTCGGTCTATTATAGTGTAATCGAAATCGAATTAGTACAATCTTGGTTATGTCTCGTGCTTAGAATAGCCATAATGTATGCAATCTCTTTCAGGAAGGAAATGAGTGCCTATTATCTGGAGCACGCCAGTGTTGATCACATTCATAATCATTTTGATCTATTTGAGGCTGAAGCTCGTCGCTTGCTTGACTCAGGCCTTGCAATTCCTGCGTATATCCTTTACTTCAGTCCACTTCTTTGGGTAATAAATATGCAAAAACTTGTTCGCTAATTATTTTCGCTATCCGCAAGTGTACGGAGTAACTATAGGTAGTGGCGAGCAAGGTCGTATTCCACAGAGATTGTAGTTAAATTACTTAAGTACTAAAATAATGACGATTAAATATTATCTAGACTAGTGAATTGAATGATGATTATAAACTAAGAATTAAACTAAAAACTAATTTATCCAAACAAATAAAAATAAAATAAGATACAAAAGGTAGATTCTAGGTTATGCTTTCCTCGGGATTAATTCATGAAACGTTTATATTCAAACAAACCTTATTTAATTTTACCAATCGTAGAGATAATCGCTAAATTGATTTCAAACCTTTCTCTCGAACAAGTTAAATCGTAGATATTAATTGTTATCTATCTCCTCTCGGTCTCAAGATGAACAACTAACTCCCATAAGTTCCTAGGATTTTCGTTCTCTCGCAAGGTCCTATCAACCTCTCGGTCTGTTTATTCTCTTACGTTATAAATTTCCCAATTCTAGCAATCAATTATCTCCTCTCGGTCTCAAATCGATCACAAATATGCATTCATAGTGGCCATCTACTCACACAATAATAATTAACACAAGAAATTTATAAACGAAAGATAAACCGGAATGAAAGCAATAAAAACTAAATCATAGATTAATCCGAGTACTAACAAATCCTAGAATCTAAGATAAATCTAGCCTAGAAACATGATTTCAAAATAAGAAAAATAGATATAAAAGATTGAGTTCGAAAGAGGAAAAGAAAAAGAAAGAAAAAGCTTATTCGGCTCCGTCGATCCTTTCTTCCCGGCTTTCTCCCTCGTCTTGCTCGTGTTTCTCTCCTCCAAAGGTCTCCCAAGATCTGAAAATATGTCCAAGACCCCTAAAAAACGTGCACTAGTGTTGTTTAAATAGTTGGAGTCGAGTCCTAGTCGAAATAGGTCGAAAATACCACAAACGCGTATTGGTCGCGCCCAGGGTCACACGACTCGTGTCATAGGTCACACGAGTCGTGTGACAAAGTCGAGAGCTCGCTATACGACCCGTCAGAGCGACACGAGCCGTGTCTCGGGCTCACACGACCCGTGTGTACCTGGGAGTTCAAAACAGCGTCAAATCTTCATTTCTTGAACGTCTCGTGGCTCCTGGTCGATTTTCCGGCGTCCCAGTCGACCCTCGGTGATGAAATACGTCCAGGTCACTGGACATGGCGAGCTCCGGTCAAATTCCGGCCATGGCGTCCATCTGCGCGGAGGTGACGTCAACTTCTTCTTCTCGGTGATAGGATAGCGCCGGCGGACGGAGAGGTGTTCAGGACGTCGGAAATTGGTTCTTCGATGGCTGGGTAGTCGCGTGGTGGCTNTTTGGTTATGTCTCGTGCTTAGAATAGCCATAATGTATGCAATCTCTTTCAGGAAGGAAATGAGTGCCTATTATCTGGAGCACGCCAGTGTTGATCACATTCATAATCATTTTGATCTATTTGAGGCTGAAGCTCGTCGCTTGCTTGACTCAGGCCTTGCAATTCCTGCGTATATCCTTTACTTCAGTCCACTTCTTTGGGTAATAAATATGGAAGTCTCTGTTTTCTTTTAACCTTGTAGTGACATGCACCTCTGTGTTTCGTTTCATGTTAGGTATGATCAGCTTTTGAAGACATCTCATGCTTTCAATGTCTTAGACTCTAGAGGATTTGTTGGCGTAACAGAACGTGCCCGCTATTTCGGTCGTATGCGTAGGTTTGTCATACTTTTTTTTATTAATATGTAATACAAGATAATCAGAGACAGTTAACAACAGTAATGTTTGTGCATTATGAGTTTAAGAGTAATTAACTCTTTTCTTAATAATAAAATCTGCGAAGGTTACTTCCTGAGGTACTCTCTGTTTTGCTCTCTGATTTAGCTAGTGCCACTTAGTCTACAAAATTTTATGAGTATCTAACTTAACTTTCAATTCACTTCCGGTGCCTTCTACACTCTTCAATTATATTTCTTTTCATAGTGACAGTTACCAAGTTGAAAATCATTAAAATTATTGTTCCCATCCATGTAGTTTAGCCCGTCAATGTGCTCAACTATGGTTGAAGACAAGAGAATCTCTTGGGCACCCCTTGGGTGTTGCTTCTCATCCTGATCACCTTGGCTTTCAGAAAGAAGACATGGAGGAACTGAAGAAAAAGGTGCTGGAGATAACTTCTTTCTGTTTGTATCACTTATATACTAGTACCATGTCAGTCGTCTTTGGCAATATGTATCTCATTTATTGATTCTCATTTCATTCTTAAACTTCAATATATCTGGATTTCATAAAATGCATATATCTAGCAGAAACATAACTCATGAATATATTAGAACTCAAAACTTTCAAAATTGATGAAAATCATCTATTGATGCCTGTTGGAAGAGTTCATTATAAAAAATGAATTTTAGAATTCGTTCACTGGTAGAGGCGGGTGAATTATCCATTTATTTAAGCAAAGCAGTGATTCTTACCAATAGATATTAAGATACGAATCCTGTCGTCACACTCCCACCGGGGATCTCCATAATTGTCTTGAAACTGGCTTTACCTGCAATTAAGCATTTATAAGTGGTGTGTTGCCCTGTCAATCCTGGTGATTTTGAGTTAAAACCTTATGTTCATCGCACTAAAAGCTTCTTGAAGATATACGGTCTTACTTTCCTTGACCGCCATTTTTACCTCTCTGATATTGTAAATCGTTAGCTGCTCCTTTTCTTTGCGTTAAGTTTTGATTACTCGAACCTATAAAACATAGTGCTCGTTTAATATATTTCTTGCGATTTTTATTCATATGGGGCTGTTATTTTACGGAGACTCTTACAAGCTTTTGGTAGAGTGTCAGCTTTACATTGTTTGTGCTTTGTATCATTGTATGGAATATTTTGTTATATTGACCCAAATTTGAGAGATGTAGCATGCCATTTGACTCTTTATTGTCTCGCTTTTGATCATGTACTAGTTTAATACAGTAGAGCAGATCTAAATATTCCTTTTTATTTTGCTATAGGTTTCTACAGAACCTCGGACTTTTATCCTGGAAATTGGGACGGAGGAGCTACCCCCAAATGATGTGGTTAATGCTTGCAATCAAGTACTTAAGTTTCTGTCATAATTATTCTTGGTTTTTACTTTCTCTAGGCTTACTAAATATATATAGTCTCCTGCTATGCTTTTTCATCTTTATTGAATCTTTGCTTATTGATTTGTGATTTTCATTAAGCTTGGAAGTTTCTAATATCTGTTTCATTTGAGTAACTCCATCAATTTCACATGTGATTCAAGAGGAAGTTTTGTAGCCAAATTTAATGCATCAAGCTCTAATGTGTAGGCTATGTTGTTTATTGCAGCTCAAAGATTTAATCCAGCAGTTGCTGGATAAACTAAGATTGAGTCATGGAAGCGTGCAAACTTATGGAACACCACGTAGGCTTGTGGTATGGTTGAATTTCTGGTGATAGTGCTCCACTATTTGGCTTCACTTTTTGAATTGCTTCACTATCTGATGCATGTAAAACATGTTACCTTAAAGCATTTCAAGTAAAAATTATAAACATCAATTCTGGAGGACATTCAGTAGAGAATACTGAATAACATATTGTCAAATGAAACACATTTCCTTATCATGTGCATTTTTTATCCTTTTTTTGTAAGATTCTAATTTTGCTAATAATTAAAATGTTCAATTATTAGAATGGTATCATCCACATCAAGATAAGCTCTTCATTTTATGTTTCTTCATCTTTTTAAATATTTGTCTGGGACTGGAGTGGAGGGGTGGACAAGGGAGTCTATAAATACCTAAGAAACTGAAAGGTACAGGGATTGGATCATGTATCTACCGGTATCATACACTTATACAGGGTGAGTGTACCACTTGAGCTGCAAGCTTTTTGGTAAAATGTTAAAGTCATAAATTTTTGTAATATAATAAGTATTGCCTAGTGATGATTGATTTGTTCAAGGATTTGTGATTAGTCCAATTGAAGTAAAATTAGTACAATCCGGATCAATTATAGTGTGATCGAGCTCGAATTAGTCCAATTGAAGTGAAATTAGTACAATCTCGGTCTATTATAGTGTAATCGAAATCGAATTAGTCCAATTGAAGTAAAATTAGTACAATCTTGATCAATTATAGTGTGATCGAACTCAAATTAGTCAAATTAGTACAATCTCGGTCAATTATAGTGTAATCGACCTCGAATTAGTCCAATTGATGTCGAACTCAATTTAATTATGTTATGCTATATAAATAATATAACACGGACATAATTAATTAAACTAAGTAAACTTTAATCACATTCATTAGTTAGTTCGACGCATAGTTTTTAAACTTGGCCCAGAAATCGACTCGGGCAAGTCTCCGGGTCAATTGCTGAACCGGATAATTAATTTTAAAATTTTTAAAATTATATATATAGTATTTTTGACATATTAATATACATAAAAGTAACAAAAATAAATGTTTTTTATACAAATTTTTTACATTTAAGTGTTAATAATATTGTATCTCACAATAAATATTTATTATATCATTATATTTACATAGTTTTTATTTTTTATATAAAAAATATTAAAAAAAAAAGAAAATATAGAGACCGAATCAATGACCAGGGTCGACCGGGTCAAGGCCGGGTTTTGACCGGGTCCATTGTTATCCGGTCAAAATAGCCCGCCCGGATTGGTTTCGGCTCCGGGTCGACTGGATACTAGGTCGACCCGCCGGGCCGGTCCGGGTCAAAAAACAATGGTTCGAGGACACAAACTCGTCCATTTTTACAAATTGAGCCAAGTTGTAATGGGATATGTAAAATATTGTAGGTTTTAATATTCACTCACGTTTTTTTTTTAAATAAAAATTAGCTAACGTAATATAAAAAAAGAAAATATAATCCCCTCTATATATAATTTCAGAATGCGCTGAGCCTACGTGGCAAATTCTCATGCTTTGGAATTCTATTTGGCAAAAAATCATGCTTTGGAGTTAGACTTGGATATAAATTAATATTTGTATTAATTGTATTTTAATATCATTTTCTATTATAACCATTGAATTGCAAATATCTTTTAGGAGTTGATAACTTTTGTATTTCTTATCGGTTTTACATATATAATATATCAAATTAATCATCTTTTGATGAGTTTTGATTTGACATCCACATTGTATATATAAAATAAATAAATTATATTTATCTTTATAATAATAATAAAATTATTTATTAAAATTAATTAGAAAATAAAATTATTTATCAATTAATATTTTTCATAATATTAAATAAACATATTCTACACTTATGCAAAAACATATCATCATAATATTTCTATTTACTTAAGATATATATTTTTTTGCTTATATAATAGTAAATAATATCGATATTATTATATAATATAAGTAAATAAATTCAACACGGGTTGACATTTTTATTTAATGTACATGTGTTTACTTATTATGATTAAAAAAATATAATTTGACAATTTAATTAAAATCCAAAATAGTGTTTTATATAAAATTAAATTAATTAAATTTTTAAAAAAATAATTTTTTTTTTTTACAAAAACTTTCTAATTCAACACCCGTGTAACACACGGGTATTGCACTAGTAAGTATTAATTCTCAACAACAAAAACTATTTATTTATATACTAGTTTTAACCCGCACGGAAAACGATACAATAAAGAAGAAATTAATAAAAACACATACGAATAAAAAATAATAACTTAATCACTAAAAATAATGATTTAAGTAAGTGAGTCACTAAAAACAATGAGCACGGTATGACATGTTTATTTATTGATTTCACTTAATTACTATGTTTCCTGCAACTACAACAACTCTTCTGTCAACTTGAGATTGTGGCTTAAGTTGATATTTATTCAGATTTCAGTACCTTGGTGTGCTTTTAGCTTTAGGTAATGAATTTTGTTAGTTCGATATCGTTTCATACATATCCTCCACATTTTTGATTGGTTTAGTTTATTTATGACATAAATGACACATTTCACTCTGCAAAATTTTTCACCAAACCAAAAAAAACCATTTCCCATCCGAGGAATTTGNAAAAAAAATCCCATCTGAGGAATTTGATTTCAGATATAAGTTACAACATCCTTTTTAGATTCACAGTGATGATTCCACTCATTAGACAACAACACATTTCATTCTACTTTCCTGAACATAACAAAAACATAACACACGTTTAGAACCATGAAACCATATAACACGATAACTGCAACACATTTCATTCTACTTTTTCGACTGCATTCACCTTCACCTTAGCGCCACAGTATCCCCCTCTCTCCGGGCCCTTCAGCGCAGCAATCGGGCCGGGCCCACCCCTCCTCTCTAAGAACTCCGAATTCTCCTTCCAAACCTCCCCATTCGCGTACACCTCTTTCTTCCATATCGGCACCGAAGCCTTCACCTCGTCGATCACAAACTTACACGCGTCGAGTGAGTCCGACCGGTGCACGGATGAGACTGCGACGAACACACTCACCTCCCCAACTGGGACTGGGCCCACACGGTGGGCCACAACCATCGAGTGTAGGGCCCACGAAGCCCTAGCCGAAGTGCATATTGATTTGATGCAACGTATGGCCATGGGAATGTACGCCTCGTACCTCAGCTCTAAGACGGTCTTCCCGTCAAACGTGTCGCGAGTCGTGCCGAAAAAAGTCGCGATGGCCCCACATTGTGGGGATTGGACGAAATCTATGTACTTGTTCGTGTCTATGGGGGTATTTTCGTCCAATATCTCGATTAAGTTATTTTCGTTGTCCGTCATTGGTTTTGGGGTCGCCAAAGACGGTCGCTGGGTTCAATGCAGATAAACCGTCAACTTTTGAAGTACAAAAGGGAAGATCGAATTCTATGCAATACTAATGTTTTTGCAATTTTTAGATTGGTCAAATTTGTGTGGTGTGTTGATAGATAGATAGTCCACATGAAAAGCAACTCGAGCTCGGTTTTTACGGAATGAGCTTGTAAAGCATAAATTGGTTGGTAAAAAAGATGATCTTGATTAGTATTTGTTACACTTCTCATTACTCCAATTAGTTTTTACATAGATCATAGATCTGTAAATGAACAATAAAAATCAAGGTATAAGAGAGCAAACATCTATGTATGTCAACAACTTTAAATCATTTCAACCTACACAAACACAGTACAAATTTTAATTACACACAACAACTGACACAAGTAGATGTTTATTTGCTTACAAGGAGTAAATTATGTGACATTGAATCATATTTCCAGACATCAATAGCAGGAAAATCAATCATGATTTAGCATTTAGGTCGAATAAAATGAAAAGTCAAGGGTTAAAAATGTTAGTTCTATGTAAAACAAACACTCAAACACAATAAATGCATTCACTTTCACGCAAACAACCCACAAATAAGCACTCAATTCATATATGTCACAAAGATAAAAAAATCCTGCAGCCAAAGCCAAAAGGTACAAAGTGAATCTTGATTCATATATGATGACTTTTTTCATTTAAAGAGTCCCCCACCATCAAATTCCGGAACCCGTTTCCCAATCAGGTCTGTAGATATACAGACATAAAATATAAATTGGAACTGTGAGGGTCTAAAACTATCAATTGAAATTGAGGAACGTGGACTGAAGGAGATGAGAAGAAAACAATCAACTACAAATGGCCTACAACGAAACTAAGCATTTGTGCGGGTGAGTGTGAGAGAGAGAAAGGGATTCCGACACAGCTAACATGTGCAAGATTAAGCCCGATGCAGCTGGTGCTACTTTCAGAGATTTGTGGTGGCCGATTTATTAGATTGAAGACTAATGAGTCTGAGACCTTATTCCACACTAGTTTTAACCCGCACGGAAAACGATACAATAAAGAAGAAATTAATAAAAACACATACGAATAAAAATTAATAACTTAATCACTAAAAATAATGATTTAAGTAAGTGAGTCACTAAAAACAATGAGCACGGTATGACATGTTTATTTGTTGATTTCACTTAATTACTATGGCCTTGTTTGGAAACACTTTTCAAATGGACTTTTGGATCCAAAAGTCCATTTGAATAAATATTTATGTTTGGTGTTAAATAATGAATGGACTTATGGATAAGTTGTTTCTCCAAAAAGTCCATTTTGTATAAGTAAATAATTGAGACTTTTGGAGAAGTCCATTTTGGATAAGTCCATATCTTAAATGGACTTTTTCAGAAGTGCTCCCAAACAAGCACTATGTTTCCTGCAGCTACAACAACTCTTCTGTCAACTTGAGATTGTGGCTTAAGTTGATATTTATTCAAATTTCAGTACCTTGGTGTGCTTTTAGCTTTAGCTAATGAAGTTTGTTAGTTCGATATCGTTTCATACATATCCTCCACATTTTTGATTGGTTTAGTTTATTTATGACATAAATGACACATTTCACTCTGCAAAATTTTTCACCAAACCAAAAAAAAAAAAAAAAAAAAAAAATTCCCATCTGAGGAATTTCATTTCAGATATAAGTTACAACATCCTTTTTAGATTCACAGTGATGATTCCACTCATTAGACAACAACACATTTCATTCTACTTTCCTGAACATAACAAAAACATAACACACGTTTAGAACCATGAAACCATATAACACGACAACTGCAACACATTTCATTCTACTTTTTCGACTGCATTCACCTTCACCTTAGCGCCACAGCATCCCCCTTTCTCCGGGCCCTTCAGCGCCGCAATCGGGCCGGGCCCACCCCTCATCTCCAAGAACTCCGAATTCTCCTTCCAAACCTCCCCATTCGCGTACACCTCTTTCTTCCATATCGGCACCGAAGCCTTCACCTCGTCGATCACAAACTTACACGCGTCGAGTGAGTCCGACCGGTGCACGGATGAGACTGCGACGAACACACTCACCTCTCCAACTGGGGCTGGGCCCACACGGTGGGCCACAACCATCGAGTGTAGGGCCCACGAAGCCCTAGCCGAAGTGCATATTGATTTGATGCAACGTATGGCCATGGGAATGTACGCCTCGTACCTCAGCTCTAAGACGGTCTTCCCGTCAAACGTGTCGCGAGTCGTGCCGAAAAAAGTCGCGATGGCCCCACATTGTGGGGATTGGACGAAATCTATGTACTTGTTCGTGTCTATGGGGGTATTTTTGTCCAATATCTCGATTAAGTTATTTTCGTTGTCCGTCATTGGTTTTGGGGTCGCCAAAGACGGTCGCTGGGTTCAATGCAGATAAACCGTCAACTTTTGAAGTACAAAAGGGAAGATCGAATTCTATGCAATACTAATGTTTTTGCAATTTTTAGATTGGTCAAATTTGTGTGGTGTGTTGATAGATAGATAGTCCACATGAAAAGCAACTCGAGCTCGGTTTTATTGAATGAGCTTGTAAAGCATAAATTGGTTGGTAAAAAAGATGATCTTGATTAGTATTTGTTACACTTCTCATTACTCCAATGAGTTTTTACATAGATCATAGATCTGTAAATGAACAATAAAAATCAAGGTATAAGAGAGCAAACATCTATGTATGTCAACAACTTTAAATCATTTCAACCTACACAAACACAGTACAAATTTTAATTACACACAACAACTGACACAAGTAGATGTTTATTTGCTTACAAGGAGTAAATTATGTGACATTGAATCATATTTCCAGACATCAATAGCAGGAAAATCAATCATGATTTAGCATTTAGGTCGAATAAAATGAAAAGTCAAGGGTTAAAAATGTTAGTTCTATGTAAAACAAACACTCAAACACAATAAATGCATTCACTTTCAAGCAAACAACCCACAAATAAGCACTCAATTCATATATGTCACAAAGATAAAAAAATCCTGCAGCCAAAGCCAAAAGGTACAAAGTGAATCTTGATTCATATATGATGACTTTTTTCATTTAAAGAGTCCCCCACCATCAAATTCCAGAACCCTTTTCCCAATCAGGTCTGTAGATATACAAACATAAAATATAAATTGGAACTGTGAGGGTTTAACACTATCAATTGAAATTCAGGAACATGGACTGAACGAGATGAGAAGAAAACAATCAACTACAAATGGCCTACAACGAAACTCTAGCAGTTAATCTGCAATCCATGAATGCATACCTGACAATATATGTAACTCAAAGAAAAATCGGCCAAAAGGGACAAGCAAAACCCCTAACTCATCAGCTTGAATAATTTGGTCTAAATTGTAAAAGTATTAAAATGAATTGATATGGAACTCACCTCACAAACAGGATCAAAATTCCGACGAAGAAGATTAGGACTTCAATGAAGAGAATCGGATTCAGGCGATTATGAGGTTCCCTCTTTCTGTTAAGGAAAAAAAAAAAAACTCAATCGGCTCCCGCTAGTTCATACCTCCATGTCGTCGGCCTTCAATCTGTCGGGCTTGTTCAAGAATCGAAGAAATTGTGCTTTTCGTTGACATTCAACTTCTCGGTTCACCCGATTAATGCGAAATCAAAGCCGAAATGACTGCATAGAAAATGGCCACAGCAGATTGAGATCCAAGGGAGACATCAAATCGGAGGAAAAAGAGGATCGCCCGTGCAGAAAGTGAAACACTAATCAGCGATATTCTCGCTTAAATGACACTCCGACCCAAACGGCGTCGTTTTGATGAAGGGCGACGTGGCCGCATAAATTTGCAGCCCACGTGTCACATAAAGAAGGCATAACCTTCTTTTTATCGATAAGAGAAATAGAGATGTACATTTGAAAATATCAGTGTCAATATTTTATTACTACCAATATTTATTATTATTATTATTTTAAAATTCCATATTAAACTTTTATTTAAAGTGTACAGTTCCTAAAATCTCCATTCCTCATTCTCACCCTCAGAAGTCAGAACGAGCCATGGCAATACTTTCACTGCCACTGGTGACATCAATTTTCACGAAAACGCCCGGCAAGCCTCAGATATGCTTCACCGTCCGCCGGATTAATCTGTCTCACGTTTTCCGGAGAAATCACTTTTCCACAACCGCCGGAAGTCTAACTTCCTCTGCTTCGACTGCCACGGAGCAAGGCTGCGTGAGACCGTCTTCATCGTTGTCGTCATCGGTGCTCACTTTTCAGCAAGCCATTCAAAGACTCCAGGTGAATTTTTGTGTAACGATAAGGCATGCTTAATTGTAACTGGCTCTAGTTTTTGTGGATTTTTCACTGGATATGGTCTAGCTTTACAGATTGCTTGTAGTAAATACTGGTATTTCCCTTACTGTTCTAGCTGCAATAAACCTGATGGATGAAAATCTAGACGGTAGAAGAGGTTTGATAAGAACTGATAGATTCTATAGCAATTAGCATCAGGTGATAGTTGATGGAAATGGTGGATTGCTGAATAACTAACTGAGAGAAACTAAATAAGAAGTAAGAGCTTCTACCGAAGTTAGCTGACAATGTAGCTGAGGAATAAAAAATGGCAACTACTGGGTTTTTTTAACTACTTATATCTGTTGCGATACAATAAACGTCATATATAGTGATAGTTCAAATATAACTAGATCACAATATTCCTAGTCCCCACATTACAAAAGTTCTTACAGCACTGTGATCTTATGAAGGAAAATTGCATGGGAAGATGTAAGAAATGTAAGGAATAATATGGATTAAGAAAAATATTTATTAAATGTCTAATGGCATGACAATGTAATTTTACTGAGAAATAAATTGGTCAAAAGAGGAATAAATATGGGTCTTAGAAGCATATGAGAGACAATCCAGCTTTTCTGCAGGATTATTTGAGTATAAGAAGATTATAAACTCTTCACATAAGCTATGAGTTGGCTTATCGAGCTCAGCAAACACAAACTAATTGCAACATTTGTACAATTGTTGTTTCATGAAATATTTCCATATTTTCCCTTTCTATCTTGTCTGTGCAATTGATTTCTGTTTCGTTGGTTGGGCAATCATCTGGTTCATGATAGTTTTATTCTTCTGAAAGTTGAATGCGAATGCCCATAAAATTTTGTTTTTAGTTTGTGTTTGGAGATGTTAAATTTCATATTCTGCAGGAATATTGGGCTTCAGTAGGGTGTGCTGTGATGCAATGTAGCAACACTGAGGTAATTAGATCTTATTGTTCTCTGACCAAGATGGAAAATATTGTTTCGGCTCGTTGTATAAAGTTTTTTTCTACTATAGTTTTAAACACTTAAATGGTTATTTTATAATCAATCAATGAACCAGAACAAATCATCTATCTGCCTTGCTAATAACAATCTAGTCCTTGATACATTTGCTTGTTGAATGAAATGGTTTGTTTGGGGACCCTTTTCCAATGTAAGATATCTGTGATGATTTTATTTTTAATGTATGGTGATGCTTGTGAGTATTTCCACAATCATATGGTCCTCTTGCTGATGGTTGCAGTGAATCTGCTCCCAAAATTCATGGATTCTTTCTCATAGCTTGTCTAATTTCTCGATGTTTTGACAATATTGAGTAGGTTGGAGCTGGGACAATGAATCCTCATACATTTTTAAGGGTTCTTGGTCCTGAACCATGGAATGTTGCGTAAGTGTGTACTTGAACTTCATAATATCTATATTTTATCCTCTCTCTCTCTGCCCCTCCACATTTCATCAATTCACAGTCCTCTTCTCTCTACCTGTGTCCCTATTTCTCCCAACTATCCTCCCTTCTTTCTGGATTTAGCACATTTCATCGCTTGTTTTTGTTATTTGGTTCTCTTTTATTTCTCAACTAGTTATCTAATGTGTTGGTTTTGGCTGAAGGTATGTTGAACCTAGCATTCGACCTGATGATAGTCGTTATGGGGAAAATCCAAACAGACTTCAAAGACACACGCAATTTCAGGTGCCTTTTGGAGGATGTCAAGCGTAGAACCATGCTTAGCCTATGAAACTCTTTGAAAGCACTTTCATGGTTTATATTAGCTTTTGACATTCTATCCTCAAATTAATCTCAGGTGATATTGAAGCCTGACCCTGGAAATTCACAGGACTTGTTCATTCGGAGTTTAGCAGCCTTAGGTTCTATATCACACCACTTAATATACAAAGATAATATCTGTCATGAAGATCACTGTCATGACAAGATTGAAACTATTTCATGTATGTATTTACTCCTGACCTACATTTTCTACTTAATGGTTGACAGGGGTTAACGTAAATGACCATGATATTCGTTTTGTCGAGGACAATTGGGAAAGCCCGGTAAGGGCTTTGAATTAACTGCTTTACATTATATAGACAACACATATCTGGTACATAACATAATCTCAGGTTGCTTGTGGGGAATACCTAGACCTCATTCTGTGCCGCTTACAGTTTTGTTACTTCAGCTTGCTGCTCCATTGTGTGTTAATATAAGGCTTATGTTGTGGTTTATTTTATTTATTTTTCTTTTTTGGAAGGTCTTAGGTGCCTGGGGCTTGGGCTGGGAAATTTGGATGGATGGGATGGAGATAACTCAATTTACTTACTTCCAGCAGGTCCTTTTACCTTTTCAACATACAAGTACTTCCCAAAGTTTCAGGATTATGACATTCACCTAACAAGAATATATCATGTTTTCTTTTTCAAATTATTTTATTGATCAAAGGACAGGATCGTACTATGATTTTCTGATGTCCTGATTTTCCCTCTCCATTCCAGGCTGGGAGTCATCAATTGATGCCTGTTTCAGTTGAGATTACCTATGGTCTTGAACGGATTCTTATGTTGCTTCAGGTTCTCCGTCTCTAATCAATCATCTGTGATTCTGAAATTCTGTCTTATTTTATGTTCTCTCAGACATGATTGTCTGATAGTTATTTGAATTGCTTTGCAGGGAGTTGATCATTTCAAGAAAATTCAGTATGCTGATGGGATAACATATGGAGAACTTTTTCTGGAAAATGAGTTAATAAGTGATTATAATGCCTTTTTCTGGATAGTTACTGATGGTTGTTTGTTACTAGTTCAAAGTCTCTGTTACACGGATTTATCATACTATATTTCTTTCTTAAGAAAATATTTATACCATTTAAAAAATTTAAAACCTATGAAACGCTATTATATTGAAGAAATATCAAATTATTTTTCTCAATCCCTGTTGTGACCCGTATCATTTTTTTTCCAGAAACTACGATTTTGTCGTATATATTATTCCTACCATTGCAACATTAACAAAATTTATTTACATGTCTAGGTTAATATTTTTTAGGGGTTTTTAATCACATTTAGGTTGTCAATCGAAATAATATTTATTTTGTATTTTGATTATTAACTTCTTGTTGTTTTCGTTATTCTTAAAATTAATTTCATTAAACTTTGTGGAAATGTTACTCATATAGATTAATTTTTCTCATTTTAGTAATTTTAACTAAAATCATCACTGTTTCTTTGTAAGTATGCAAATTAAGAATAATTTACAAAGATGATGTTTGTACCACATAATTATATTTTAATTCTAGATGGGCTCAGTTGTGATAATGAATTTAATATACTTAAGCAATTTACAATTACTAATATTAAAACTTATTAGGAAAACATGTTATTGACTAGATAAATGAAAGGAAATTTAATAAAAAATATGCAGACTTACAAAATTAGAAAAATTAGGTTCAGTTGCTTATGTGTCAACTAAAGCAAGAGAATCTAGCACAACAACAACAACAACAACAACAACGACAACAAAAAAAGCTAACACATGAGCAACTGAAGCACTAATGTCTGCCAGTCGATAGGCATATTCTGAACTAGTATATAGGGGTTGATTTCATTTATTACTGAACTATACTATTTCTTTACTCCTGGATGTGAATAGGGAACTTTCAGGTTGAGTGGGTTGTTATCACCAAAGTTAATAAAATCTGTAACATGCGTTTTGGTTATGTCTCGTGCTTAGAATAGCCATAATGTATGCAATCTCTTTCAGGAAGGAAATGAGTGCCTATTATCTGGAGCACGCCAGTGTTGATCACATTCATAATCATTTTGATCTATTTGAGGCTGAAGCTCGTCGCTTGCTTGACTCAGGCCTTGCAATTCCTGCGTATATCCTTTACTTCAGTCCACTTCTTTGGGTAATAAATATGGAAGTCTCTGTTTTCTTTTAACCTTGTAGTGACATGCACCTCTGTGTTTCGTTTCATGTTAGGTATGATCAGCTTTTGAAGACATCTCATGCTTTCAATGTCTTAGACTCTAGAGGATTTGTTGGCGTAACAGAACGTGCCCGCTATTTCGGTCGTATGCGTAGGTTTGTCATACTTTTTTTTATTAATATGTAATACAAGATAATCAGAGACAGTTAACAACAGTAATGTTTGTGCATTATGAGTTTAAGAGTAATTAACTCTTTTCTTAATAATAAAATCTGCGAAGGTTACTTCCTGAGGTACTCTCTGTTTTGCTCTCTGATTTAGCTAGTGCCACTTAGTCTACAAAATTTTATGAGTATCTAACTTAACTTTCAATTCACTTCCGGTGCCTTCTACACTCTTCAATTATATTTCTTTTCATAGTGACAGTTACCAAGTTGAAAATCATTAAAATTATTGTTCCCATCCATGTAGTTTAGCCCGTCAATGTGCTCAACTATGGTTGAAGACAAGAGAATCTCTTGGGCACCCCTTGGGTGTTGCTTCTCATCCTGATCACCTTGGCTTTCAGAAAGAAGACATGGAGGAACTGAAGAAAAAGGTGCTGGAGATAACTTCTTTCTGTTTGTATCACTTATATACTAGTACCATGTCAGTCGTCTTTGGCAATATGTATCTCATTTATTGATTCTCATTTCATTCTTAAACTTCAATATATCTGGATTTCATAAAATGCATATATCTAGCAGAAACATAACTCATGAATATATTAGAACTCAAAACTTTCAAAATTGATGAAAATCATCTATTGATGCCTGTTGGAAGAGTTCATTATAAAAAATGAATTTTAGAATTCGTTCACTGGTAGAGGCGGGTGAATTATCCATTTATTTAAGCAAAGCAGTGATTCTTACCAATAGATATTAAGATACGAATCCTGTCGTCACACTCCCACCGGGGATCTCCATAATTGTCTTGAAACTGGCTTTACCTGCAATTAAGCATTTATAAGTGGTGTGTTGCCCTGTCAATCCTGGTGATTTTGAGTTAAAACCTTATGTTCATCGCACTAAAAGCTTCTTGAAGATATACGGTCTTACTTTCCTTGACCGCCATTTTTACCTCTCTGATATTGTAAATCGTTAGCTGCTCCTTTTCTTTGCGTTAAGTTTTGATTACTCGAACCTATAAAACATAGTGCTCGTTTAATATATTTCTTGCGATTTTTATTCATATGGGGCTGTTATTTTACGGAGACTCTTACAAGCTTTTGGTAGAGTGTCAGCTTTACATTGTTTGTGCTTTGTATCATTGTATGGAATATTTTGTTATATTGACCCAAATTTGAGAGATGTAGCATGCCATTTGACTCTTTATTGTCTCGCTTTTGATCATGTACTAGTTTAATACAGTAGAGCAGATCTAAATATTCCTTTTTATTTTGCTATAGGTTTCTACAGAACCTCGGACTTTTATCCTGGAAATTGGGACGGAGGAGCTACCCCCAAATGATGTGGTTAATGCTTGCAATCAAGTACTTAAGTTTCTGTCATAATTATTCTTGGTTTTTACTTTCTCTAGGCTTACTAAATATATATAGTCTCCTGCTATGCTTTTTCATCTTTATTGAATCTTTGCTTATTGATTTGTGATTTTCATTAAGCCTGGAAGTTTCTAATATCTGTTTCATTTGAGTAACTCCATCAATTTCACATGTGATTCAAGAGGAAGTTCTGTAGCCAAATTTAATGCATCAAGCTCTAATGTGTAGGCTATGTTGTTTATTGCAGCTCAAAGATTTAATCCAGCAGTTGCTGGATAAACTAAGATTGAGTCATGGAAGCGTGCAAACTTATGGAACACCACGTAGGCTTGTGGTATGGTTGAATTTCTGGTGATAGTGCTCCACTATTTGGCTTCACTTTTTGAATTGCTTCACTATCTGATGCATGTAAAACATGTTACCTTAAAGCATTTCAAGTAAAAATTATAAACATCAATTCTGGAGGACATTCAGTAGAGAATACTGAATAACATATTGTCAAATGAAACACATTTCCTTATCATGTGCATTTTTTATCCTTTTTTTTGTAAGATTCTAATTTTGCTAATAATTAAAATGTTCAATTATTAGAATGGTATCATCCACATCAAGATAAGCTCTTCATTTTATGTTTCTTCATCTTTTTAAATATTTGTCTGGGACTGGAGTGGAGGGGTGGACAAGGGAGTCTACAAATACCTAAGAAACTGAAAGGTACAGGGATTGGATCATGTATCTACCGGTATCATACACTTATACAGGGTGAGTGTACCACTTGAGCTGCAAGCTTTTTGGTAAAATGTTAAAGTCATAAATTTTTGTCATATAATAAGTATTGCCTAGTGATGATTGATTTGTTCAAGGATTTGTGATGTCCTTAGGAGGTCTTATTTCCTAATAAAATTTCTTCAATTCTAACGAAGATTTTTCCCTTGTATTTTGTTGTGAATTTGTACCTTACTTTTATCAGGTAGATGAACTTGTGTAACTCATTAAACATCCTTGGTTTTATGCTACACTCATATAATTTGTTATGTGCAGATTTGTGTCGATAACCTCGGTGATAAGCAGGTGGCAAACCAAGTTGAGGTTCGGGGACCTCCAGCATCGAAGGCATTTGATCAGCAGGGAAATCCTACTAAGGTCATCTCCTTGAACTTATTGTTTTTGTTGTCTAGTCATAGTCAAATGGTAATTATGATACAATTAAAGCATATAAGTGGAAGCAATTTGGTCTAAGCCGTGCCTTGAATTTGGCAGACAAATCTGATAAGTTATTTTGGTGCTTAGCCCATGGCTTTTGCTTGCCCCTTTGCATTCACGTCCTAAACTCTTTTTTTTTTTTTTTNTTAATTCTTCCTATGAAGGATTACACCTTTTTTCTGCAAACATAATTTCTTTTCTTTTTCCCTTCTATACATTGAATGATTTTCTGTCTTGTCTTACCATAATGCATAAATTTGTTATATTAGGACAGATTAAGCACTATGTTGACCATTCTTCCCTGGAATGGTGGGACCTTCACTTTCATCAAATATAACGAGTGTTATATCAATTGGGACTTGCACTCCTTATTTGATTGAAGTTGAGGCTCAATATTCGATACTCTTCTATGTGCTCGATACGTGGCATGCGTTGTGGATGATTGTTTAATTGTCTTCGAGAACCAATTTTTTGCCACACCTAATCCAAGCCTTATCTGTACTTAATCCAAGCCTTATCTGTACTTGGCAATCTTTCAAGCTGTATCTCTTTTCGGACATGCGGTATCTCTTTTATTCAGAGATGTAACAATAAATGAAAGATGAATTGCAATATGTTTCTTTTGTAATTGATGCATAGACTTCTTCATTTGTATTGGGCTTCCTTTCCCTGTTACATTATTATGTACAATTCCTAAATGTATTAATTTATCAGGCATCTGAAGGATTTTGCCGCAGAAACGGTGTGCCTTTGAGTTCCTTGTATAGAAAGATTGAAGGTATTTGGTCGGTGCCTTTGTAATTTATCTGTCTTTCACAGTTTTTGGGTGAAGTTATAATTCGTCTTCATCTGTGTATGCTTTAGGGGTGAAATCTGTGTGTTCTGTCTCTTCATCATTTTTTATTGGCTCTGTATTCTGTTCGTGTCTTAATCTCTTTATAAAAAATACTCTCTGCAGGTAAAACAGAGTACGTTTATGTTAGTGCAGTGGAGCCATCACAGCTTGCTTTAGAGGTATTCTGCCCTAATTTTCGTCCGTTTGTCTTCTCATGTTACCATAGGAATTTTTAATGATGCTTCCATTCCGTTAGATCTGCAAAATAATTAAGAGAAGTGGGCATGAATCCATCATTCATCTTTTGAAAGAAGGCGAATAACTTGAGATTTTTCTTAAAAGTGCATATGTAGAGTGTGTAATTCCTGGGTCCGCTTTTGAGACTTGACGATATTGCCTGCTCTACCAGCTCGAGTCTTTTCAGCATGTTTTGTCACCACGCGCTTAATGAGAAATTTCCCACGAGGCCACTCATCCTACTTTGCACCAAACAAGCACAGTTAACTTTGGAGTTTCTATGGGTTGGGTGCCATATTAGAAGATGCACTTGGTTGCTATGAATACCAATCATAGTGTTTTAAGATTTTCCAGTTTGTTTCATGTCACGGCATAGG